AAGTTTCAGGTTCCTGAGACTTGTAGATTAGAAGTTATGAATTTTTAAGCAATGAGTTACACTTGCGAAAAAGTCCTGTTTTTGCATCAATATTTGCCAAGTCAACCAAAAATCACGATTTTTTGAGATTTGAATGTATTTTCCCTCCTGTTTAGACTGAGATATATTCCATCGATTGTGAAAGTCTCAGGTTCCTGTGACTTCTAGATTAGAAGTTATTAATTTTTAAGCAATGAGGTATACTTGCAAAAATTGCTGTTTTTGCACCAATATTTGCCAAGTCTACAAAAATCACGATTTTTTGAGATTTGAATGTATTTTTCTTCCTGTTTAGACCGAGATATATTCCATCGATTGTGAAAGTTTCAAGTTCGTGTAACTTCTAGATTAGAAGTTATTAATTTTTAAGCAATGAGTTACACTTGCGGAAAAATTCCTGTTTTTGTACCATTATTTGCCAAGTCGACAAAAATCACGATTTCTTGAGATTTAAATGTACTTTTCCTCCTGTTTAGACTGAGATATATTCCATCGATTGTGAAAGTTTCAGCTTCCTGTAACTTCTAGATTAGAAGTTATGAATTTCTAAGCGATGAGTTACACTTGCAAAAAATTGCTGTTTTTGCACCAATATTTGCCAAGTCGACAAAAATCAGGATGTTTTGAGATTTGAATGTATTTTTCCTCCTGTTTAGACTGAGATATATTCCATCGATTGTGGAAGTTTCAGGTTCCTGAGACTTGTAGATTAGAAGTTATAAATGTTTAAGCAATGAGTTACACTTGGACAAAAATTTATAGACCAACATTTACCCAGTCGACAAAAATCCGGATTTATTGGAGTTTAAAGGAATCTTTCGCTCTGTTTAGGCTTAAACACGCTCCCTCGATTTTGAGAGTTGGAAGTTCCTTCCTACTCCAGATTGGAAGTTATTAATTTTTAAGCACGATATAAAAACACCCGTTTTAAATTCAAAGTATATCAAGACGATAAAAGTCAGTATTTCACTCGATTTCAGTGAAATTTATAAGTTGTCTAGATTGAAGTGTGTTGTATCGAAGTGATGAATTTCAAGTTTCTTGCAGCTCTAGATTAGGAGTTTACGTAAAATTATTGGGCTATTTTTTTCAAAGTATAGTGCACTTGGGTTAAGACCCACACTTGTCAAATCAACAAAAATCAGGATTTATTGAGATTTTCGTATATTTTGCCCCCTGTTTAGACTGAGATATATTCCATCGATTGTGAAAGTTTCAGCTTCCTGAGACTTCTAGATTAGGAGTTTTGAATTTTTAAGCGATGTGTTACACTTGCAAAAAATGCCTGTTTTTACATCAATATTTGCCAAGTCGGCATAAATCAGGCTTTTTGAGACTTGAATGTATTTTTCCTCCTGTTCAGACTGAGAGATATTCCATCGATTATGAAAGTTTCAGGTTCCTGAGACTTGTAGATTAGAAGTTATTAATTTTTAAGCGATGAGTTACACTTGTGAAAAATTCCTGTTTTTGAACCAATATGTATCAATATTTGCCAAGTCGACAAAAATCACGATTTTTTGAGATTTGAATGTATTTTTCCTCCTGTTTAGACTGCGGTATATTCAATCGATTGTGAAATTCTCAGGTTCCTGTGACCTCTAGGTTAGAAGTTATGAATTTTTAAGCGATGAGTTACAGTTGCGAAAAATTCCTGTTTTTGCACCAATATTTGTCAAGTCGACAAAAATCACGGTTTTTTGAGCTTTGAATGAATTTTTCCTCCTGTTTAGACTGAGATATATTCCATCGATTGTGGARGTTTCAGGTAACTGAGACTTGTAGATTAGAAGTTATAAATTTTTAAGCAATGAGTTACACTTGCSAAAAAATTACTGTTTTTGCACCAATATTTGCCAAGTCGACAAAAATCACGGTTTTTTGAGACTCGAATGTATTTTTTCTCCTGTTTAGACTGATAYATATTCCATGGATTGTGAAAGTCTCAGRTTCCTGTGGCTTCTAGATTAGAAGTTATGAATCTTTAGGCGATGAGTTACACTTGCGAAAAATTCGTGTTTTGCACCAATATTTGCCAAATCGGGAAAAATCACGGTTTTTTTAGTTTTGGATGTATTTTTCCTCTTGTTTAGACTGAGACATATTCCATCGATTGTGAAAGTTGCAGGTTCCTGTGACTTCTAGATTAGAAGCTATGAATTTTTAAGCAATGAGTTACACTTGCGAAAAATTCCCGTTTTTGCACCAATATTTGCCAAATTGGGAAAA